TTGAGTGATCAGTTGCAGCTGCAGCTGCAGCAGCTAATGGTGCGAAAACAGTTTGGTCGTATTTTGCTGTAGAGTTACCAATTATCTGATTCATTTTGGTGTTTCCTGAAATTTATAATGCTAAGAATTATGTTATTATATTTGGAATTTTCGACTCTAGATTTTCCTACTTGGTAATTTTTTCTTTTTCTTACTTTCTATGGTGCCAATATTAAAATTCACATTGATTGTTTTGATGCTTGTACATCGTAAACATCAAATTTTGCTGGCAATGTGGTTATCTGAGCCCCCGTAGAAATAAAATTCCCTTGAATACCAAACAAATCTACGGATGTATATCATTTTTTCTTTTATCCTTAGATTTGCCATGTCTATGTAAAGTTGGATCTACGGCATTTAGAAATATATTTTCATTTCGTGCTAAATTTGGAGGATTGTTTGGTGTTCAGATGTCTACGAGCTGGTGTATGACATCCACGCCTAAAATCGGGTCAAGTTATACTTGTCCAAGTTGATTATGTATTAAGATGGTAAGCTAAGTTAGCACCTTTTGCATCCAGGGATTACGGAGTCATCATAGAATATTGTTCAATAAGTGGAATGTATTATCTCTGTTCTCAAGTTGAATAGTAATGGAAGAATGTCTTTTTTAAAAAAATATATATGCATGTGGGAAAGATTGCAATAGCAATAGCAATTGGTAAAATGGGATGACATGGAGCCCATGGGCGGATCTATAGTGGGGTCACTTATCCCTGCACTAATTTTTAAATTCGAAAATTTTCACAACATTTTTCAAGATTTTCGAAAAATTCATTAATAATTTTCAATTTTGTCCCTACAACTAAAATTTCGTAGAATTTGCTTCCACAACTCCAAAATTTTAGCTATGTCCATGATTGAGTCAGTTTGTAAGTTGTTTGTGTTGGATAATTGTTTCAAAAGTTTCACGAAGCAGAATATTGGATTGAGTACCGGATATGCAGAATAGATACCGTATTTACAGTAAGTTTAAACACCATATTTCTTCATATTATTTTGCATACAAATTTGACTGTCACACATTTAATTATATATAACAGATTCATAATGATTTATAAATTTCAATAAATAATTAAACGAGAATTGTAAAATACTAATATGCAAAACGAATAACAAGAATGAACAATTTTTTTTTTTTAAACTCGAGGTTTGTGTTACACACAGTTTTCTTAAAATAGATTCGTCCCCTCACCGTACGTGCTTGATGTGTAATTTGAGTGTCTGCTTCCCAGGATACAACGGTAGAACAGTAGAATCTGATCACCACAAATTTTACTCTGGCGAACTGAGTTAGAGCCCGAACAATATGATCACCAGACTCAAACAGAAACGAAAACAGAGACAAGACTTGAGTTGTATGCAGATGAATATTCAAATGAATTGTTGTACTGAAAACTAGGAAAAACCGAGGTATATA